GGAAATCAGAGCTGATCGAGAAAAAACACATATCATGCTGGCGAAGGCAGAGACGGAGAGAAAAACCGACAAAGAAGAAATGCTGGCAAGAATGGACGCCAACATGAGGTCCTACCAAGAAACGACGGAGGCCAAGGCGGACGCCAGACACAAAGCGCTGATGGCCGATTGGAAAGCCTGGGGGGGAAGAGAGGAGAACCACCCACGAGAAGATTGAGACCCACCCAGAAGCGATGCAGTCCGTACTGGAGCATCGAGAAGTCCCCGTAGAAGACGCCCCGAGAATACCGGTCGGAGAACCGAAGAAACGGCGTAGGGACCAAGGGCTGGCCGCGGAGCGCCGCCGCCAGGAAGTGAAGAATTCAGCAGGGGAAAATCGTGGGCCCCGCAAGGAATTGGCTGTCGCCCGAGTGACTACACGCCGTGTGGAAGCGACACGGCAGAAGGGAAACCGCAGGAGGACATCCCGTCGCGCGACAGTGGCACGACGTTGGAGAAATGACTCCAAGAAGGAAACTCCCCAGGGAACCTTCGGACGCCAGCGGAGAGAAGGACCGCCAACCGAACAGAGACGGCAGAGCAATTGGACCAGAGACCACTCTACGAGAGGAATCCAGAAGGGATGGACTCCCAGAGGGAAACAACTGGTGCCCCAGGAAGGCACCAAGGAAACGAAGAATCGAGACTTCGGGGACCAGCTACGGCTTGGAAGCAAGGGATAATTTAACAAGACGCAAAGGAGGACAAAGGGATTGGAAATCGCAAAGCGAATTTTCACACCTGTCCCATTACGGATAATAAGAATGTGGACACTGTGGAGGGGTCGACCCCCTCCAAAACGAAAAAAGGGAAACAGCCCTTATGGGAGGAACCGGTAACGTAGAAGTACCGGCCTCCCCGACGAGGGTAAATAGAGAATGAATGTAAAACAACGAGACCGACAAATTCTCGGCTACGGAAGTGCTGGGGACGAGCACCACTGAAGAAAGGGGCGGATGCGGTAAAACGGACGGCGCAATAAGACGCGCAAAGGACACCAAGGCCGATTGCAGACGTTGCCAACAGAACACCGCGAATCGAAACCGAGGGATAACCTTTAGGCTTTTTTTTTTATCGAACCCAGGTTCCTTTTTATTCCACATCGTGTCATGGTCACTAGATGCACTGAGTAAGCGACCTCTGCTCTTGTAGAATAGCTGCGGATTGCTATTTTATCGCTAAGATCACTTGGCTGTATTGGATATGAGGTGGCTGGCGTTGCGGTAACGCTCTTAGACTCGTAATCAAAAGGTACTCAGTTCGAATATAGGCCTGGTTACGAGCTATCCCGACTGCAGTTTTTCGTGGTTTCTCCGGGCAGATTCCGGGTGAGTACCTCTGTTAGTCCATGACCGCTTATTTCCAGGTCTTTTAAAATTCGTAACTCAATTATGAACCCTATCATTCGGCACTGTATATTCTAGACGCTCTTAGCGTCGTTAAACAGCCCATAAATCGAAGAATGTGTAGGTCTGAAGAGTTAATCAGTAATAATCATATCATTCATCAAAGGCTCTACAGACCTTCGTTGGTCCCTGGCCTTTTCTTAAGTTTCGTAAACTTTTTTACACACACTCTAAGACTCCTTGGATGGGGGATCAGCCCGTCGCATGACCACTACCTACACACAGGACAGCAAAAACACAGAATAAACACATGGACAAATATTCATGCCTTGAGTGGTATTCGAACATCCGCTCGCAGCGTTCGAGCCAATGAAGACAGTTCATAACTTAGACCGCGCGGGCATCATGATTGGCAGTCATTAATAATCACTTCCTTTCTATTACTAAGGAAGTCATTCTTTGGTCTATGGCCGCACCATAGCTCAAGCGGTTAGTCGCTGGCTTCCCATCGCGGCGGCCCGGGTTCGACGCCGGGTCTGGTCAAGTGGGATTTGTGGTGAACAAAGTGGCGCTGGGGCAGGTTTTCTCCGACTACTTCTGTTTCCTCTGCCAATCTTCATTCCACCAATTGCTCCACAATCACCCTCACCTATCGTCTGGGGCTGCTACAATAGGCCAGAAATGGCCGCAGTACAAGGGACTTAGTCCCACCCCACTAGCAATAAGGAAAAAAAAGGAAGTAATTCTTTGGTCTAAGTCATAAAGTGTCTTCTCCTGCTAGAACAATATGATCATGGGTTCGAATGCCACTATGGGCATTGATGTCTGTATGCGTTGCTTCTGTGTGGACAACTGCCTTCTTGCGACAGGGCTGATCACCCGTCCAAGGAGTCCTACTGACTCTCCTTAACATCCATAATTCCAGATTAATTCTGATAGGAACAGGTCAGAGGAGGCAGAAAAAGCGATTCGTTCTGTTCAAACACATTTGGCTGGCTGATGAGTTGATGAAATAATGGCAGAGAATTTCTTAATGGAAGACAAGGGTAGCGGTAAATATACCATTGATTAAAATTTCTACTGGGGCATTATATACCGTCTGTTGAACTGTTTAATGTGGCATGAAAGGAAGGAAGGGGTTGAGTGGTTGATGGGTGTGTGTGGGGGGGGGAGGATAGCAACGCCATCTCCGGGGTTTATTGCACTCAGATTGTGAGTTTAGTGGACAGACAGATTGGAAGAGATGGGGTTCAATGAAACTCAGAACAGGCACTGGGAAGACGGATAATGAAAGAATATACGATGAAGAAACTAATTACTTTTGCCATAGAAGGCTGGAGTAGACACATTTTTTTTTCTTTGGCACTACAGCCCCAGTGGGCCTAGGCCTACCTCCATGAACTTCTCCGTTCACATCGGTTTTTTTCTAGATCTTACACGTTCGGTAAGTCCTTGGGCGGGTGATCAGCTCGTCGCAAGGCCTCTACCTGTACACAAACACAGAAAAACGCACACACACAAACTAAACATCTATGCCCTGAGTGGTATTCGAACCCACGATCCCGGCTTCCGAGCGAGCGAAAACAGTACATGCCTTAGACCGCTCGGCTACCGTGACCGGCGGGGTAGACACATAGGAAGATAAAAAACCAAAAAAAAATGCATGTGAATAAAAATATCAGTTTTACTGATATACTGATACTGAACTGGGATAGCTCACTGAAGACAAAGACTAAATTAGGGGATTCTTAGGTATATAAAACATCTACTTTAATATTATCCTCCCACTAAGCTTAGGTCTTTTAATACATTTCTTTCCTTCAGGTTATAGTTAGAAGTTTAGAGACTATAGTGCATACCTTCTCTTGTATGCGGACTGCATATTTCGCCCACCTTAATCTCCTTGTTCTGGTCGCCATAATCATATCTTAAGAGGATCCTCCTCGTGTAATTTTCTCCAGTTCCCTATTATTCTCATGCCTTTTGTGTTTTTCCTTCGATTTGAAAGACCAAAGTTTGTGCAACTTCATATAAGGAATGAGTAGCCATTTGGGGTCTACGAGTATAATGCTTTGGCACACTAGGACCTGCGGGCTGTATGCGGCCCTCAAGAGTTTTTGTCTTGTCTGCAGAGTTATTGTGAAAATTTGCGTATAATATTATTTTTAATATATATCAGGTAAAGTAAAAACTCTCATTTTAACAGGCCGTGAAGGCCCATAGGGTTGTGAGACGTCGAGGCTCCATTTTCTCTAGAGTATCGGCCCACAAATGGCGTTAAGATCAGCCATACGCTCCGACCGCACTTTTCCTCCGGGAAGATTTCTGGTACTCATTTGTGTTAGAGGCTGAGTCGGCCCCAGGATCACAATGCAGCTGGAAGGATTAGGTCAATTGAAAAAAAATCCGTCTCATCAGAACTCGAACCCGCGACCTTCCGGATTGTGGCCTAGTGCCTCAACCAACTACGCTACCGCTAATGCAGTAACATATATTTCATCAGGAAAGTAAGAAGTTTATGTCACGTGATTTTTGCAGCAGTACACATGAAGCTCACTCGGTATAGAAACTGGCTGGACGGCCGGGGTACTATTCCTTGCAGGGGCAAGATATTTTTTCTCTTCACAGCATTCAGACCGGCTCTGGGACTCACCCAGCCTACTATCCAGTGGGTGCCGAGGGATCTTTACCCGGGTATAAAGTGGGTCACTCACCTACATATACTGCCGAGGTAAACAATGGTGGACTTATACCTCCGCTAAGCGGCCTCCGTAGTCTAGAGGTAACGTTCCCACCTCATGACTCGAGGTACGCGGGTTCAAATACCCGGCGGAGGTCGTCGAATTTTTAAGGGCGGAAAAATTCAGGGAACAAGTCCTCCGGGAGGGACTTTAAGCCGTGGGTCCCGTGTCGTAGCTTTACGGCACGTAAAAGAACCTCATATCTCCAAAGGAGATCACTGAGCCAAATTCAAGGACGTTTCCCGCCCAACAGCAGTCTCTAAGGCCTCTGATAGAGGGGGGAAGCATTATAGATACCGCCAAGCCAGTTTAGAACTCGCTGACTCGGTCGGGACTGATGGTACGCACCATTATCGGTAGGGTATAGAGACTGGTAGAATAACATAGAAGGAAGCACAATGGACCAATACTGGTCTAAGTGCATGGGGAAACCCACCCTCTCCAATAACTAACTAACTATACCTCCGCTCCCTCATACCCCTTCATGGCTAGGTGGTTAATTAAGTGCAGGGACAAATTTACCCCACTTTGTAGGATTTGAGGTTCTAACAGCGGTGTTTATGAAGAGTCCTATCTGTTGAAAGTCAACCGACGTTTCGGAGGAACATATCGCCTCCATCTTTAAGGTCGAAGAATAAACCAAGCAAGGAACCAGCGTGAGAGCAGATGACAAGCATGTAGGCGAAATATTCCTCCGAAACATCGGTTGGCTTTGAACTGGTTACATGGCGTTTATCCCAAAAGATAGAACTCTTTTTAGCTTACCTTACTAAAAATACTTAAGAAATACTGAGTTTACCACTTTCGGGCACAACAGACAACTCAGAACCTCTAATCCGGCCCTTCGGCCAGGCTGGCTCTGTACGATACTCACGGTAGTATGGAACGGGAGGCAGTCGCGGGCTCGCTGGATTCAGTGGTCTCGGCGGTGCCTTGTCGTCCGGCGGCTTTGGGGGCTGGGGCGGAGGTGGCAACTGAAACAGAGAGAAGGCACTCAGCAGCAGCAAGAGAAGTCGTTTGTTTCTTTCGTGCTTCAGTTAAAAGGTTATTCTTATGAGCTGTTTTACGACGCTGTCACCAGCTAGACCTTATACCGCCGATGATCAATGAATAATGAACAGGAAAGGCTTTCAAAGAAATCGATTGTGGTTTGGGCCTTTAAAGACCAGTGGTTAATATGTGTACCACCTGCTTGAACATTCCAAAATTCTGCATTCTGCCCATAAAGCGTATTTGTGTGTTCCGTATGATTCTCACAACAAACAGCGACTTTTCTTTAGACAACATTAACCGGTTGGGCCTTGTATCGGAGACGTAATGTGTTTCCTGTGAGGTACGAACTGAATTTATATATTTTATTTAAAAGAAGTAGAGGTTGAATCCAATCACTGTTAACATATTGGTGTTGCTCTTCGATTACGGTCTTGAAAACAAAGGTAAGATAAGGGCCAACCGCCAACTGCGACTGAAGAGAAATTTGCGACAGGCTCGGGGAACCCTACTGATTGAAACACTTATATTTCTGTTTGAACTCTACGTGTTATTCAGAGCAGCAAACTATGAATTCTCTCGGTAGCTGGAGACTAGTCGAAACATTATTTAGCAGAGAGCGGTGATACACTTGTGCTGAAACTACGGTGCAACAAATGCAGCGTTTACACAGAAAGACTAACCCAGCCCTCGTCGAAGAGGAGGACCCTTTCTTAATCACGTACATACTCGTATCTAGGAGAGAACAGAAAGCTTGGTCATGGATATTGAGACTGAAGCCAGGAATGAATGTGCTGGCGAAGACCAGCAGCAATTTAATTCACCGATCAGTGTTCAGAGGGTTAATTTTGGCACTATTCTGAAATTTTGCTGAAAATACTCAAGAAAAGAGGGAAGAAACCTTAGAATATCTGGTGGTCTGGCCTAGAATCGAATCGTATGTTTCCAGAACTGGAGTGCTAGAGATAGACTGCCACTTCATCAATCTCGGCCTCAAAAGATTAAAACACCTCTTTATTAAGAGTTCTGTCTTGTGGGATAGAACGCCGTGAGCTTTCACGCTAGTTTCTCGCTTGGCTTATTCTGCCCTGAAGATTGAGGCATTGTGTTCCTCGAAACGTCGGTTGACTTGAACGGACTACACGGCTTTGTACCCCAGAAGATAAGATTCATTGTAGCCACCGCTGAGAAAACATCAAATCCTACCTCTTTATTGTTTATGAAGTTTATTAAGCACCCACGTAGAGGACAGGGCAATGTGTACATCAAAACAAGTAACAGCCCTTTAAAGCACGTTAGTTACTATAGGTAACGCCTGATTTAGTGTTCAGAGACCCCGCATTTTAAAGGTTTCTTATGATCATCGTAATAAACAGCAGTGTTTTCACATAGCACTAACGCTCTATATCCATATTCAGGACACTTATTATCCTCATTGATGTCCTACGTAGTTTTCCTTGGATCCTCCAGGCAATACGACCGCTTCCTTCCAAATCCTTTGCAATTTATCATTCATTTATCATAATCATTGGATGTAATATTTTAGCTACTGACAGCGTCTAGAAATAAACCATACAAATGGAAAAGAATCTTGAAATATTGTCACGATTTATATCTGACTATAGGCGGGGTGTGGATTGATGAATCGACTTATTGACCACTTTTACACACCATTCGTAACTACAAATGATAATAGCGTCACCGCTAATATCCACTATTCAGAAATCACCACAGCATCCGCTAAGCCTTTTCCAGCATACTGTATCTCCAACAGCAATTCCCTGGTAACGGCTTCTAACAGTGGATATTCTTCAGTTTCCTGCGCCCAGGCGCTTCTTTGACCGACTCATATACAGAACTGCCTAGCAACTCAAAGCCAAAGTCAAAACCACTTTACGACTGGCGGTTTACCGCCAATCGGTTCGTCTTGGCTCAAGGCCCCTGGAGACACACGACTAAAGATATTTTTTCAAGTAAACTATTGCGGTAATGGCCCTTATGTAACATCCTCTCTGACCAGAAGATTGGTTTGTCTCTTATGAATACGCTTCGCCTTTCGTCAAGTGTACATTTCGCACATATAGCAAGTTAATGAAAATTCTTCATTTTGCAATACACACAAGTCCTCTTTGAGTACAGACTTTACAGAGCAGCTGCCCAGCCACTGAATGAATGAGTCTGAAACTTATGTTACGACCGACGTTCAGTCGGCCAGTCTCTCTTGGAATAAGGCTCACATCCGGGGCTCAAGACCAGATTTTTATTACTGTCAAACAGTTGCGGGTTTGTTGATGTAGGACGCTCTCTCCGACGAGAGGACGGGTCTGTCGTTTGCAATTGTTGCTGGCGCTCGCCAGCACAGTCATTCTAGGGTCCAAGTCCCGTGGGACTCGCGAACATATTTTACTATTTCAGAATCGAGACTTCCTTTTCCGTCGTCTCCTATGACTCGCAGGGATACGGTGGAGGTATTCGACCCCGCTTCTAGTGCCTAGCAACTGACTTTGTCCTTTGCTTATAATATTTCAGCAATTCTCTTTCCATTGTTGTAGACCAACAATATTTCCATTGTTGCATGCGTATTCGTTGTTGCGTGAACTCTTTTACCGAACAGTTGTCTAGCAATAGCCCGGGTGATGTTGATTTGTTTATCAGCTGTTGCCCAGCAATGCATGTTCCTTCTCGCAGTTGTTGCATAACAAGAGCTATGCACGCTAATTTAGGTAAAGTGTAAACTTCGACGGGTTAAGCAGCTGTGTGACACGGCGTTGTTACATCCGTACAATTTATTTTAAGAAGACAGGAATAAAAAACAATTGGTTTCGCTAGCTTTTGTAGGCCTGTATCAAAAAATTCTTACGTCCGAGTACATCCAGCAATCACGAGAGAAACTCTGGACGAATGTCGACACGGAACGATAAGTTAACTTATCTCGTGGTTCGCTACTCTCAGCTCTTATCCGTGAAAAGTATGCATGAATACTTAGCAAAACGACAATACATTATACGACGAGGTTTTGCCCGTTTTCTCTCTCCTTCTTCAAATTGCTATATACAGTAACTCAGTTCCATTGGTTCTATAGAAATTATTACTTAAATGCTTCACAGAACAACACAAGTTTCAAGGACATCTGATTAATCAGTGTAAATAAATCGAGATAAGTAAGATTTGAGGTTTTCACAGCTGTGATTATGAAGAATTCCGTCTTCTGGCATGTGACACTGTNGTGTGTAACAGTAGACGAGTTGAAGATTATATGTGGAAATCTTAGTTTTTTCTAGTTCGTGGGGTGGGGTGAGACTGAGTCCACCTCGTTCGTCGGCCACTAATTGACCTTTTGTACCAGCCCCGGATGATAGATGATGATGAATATGGAGCAGTCGGTTTAATGATAATTGGAAGTGGAAACCGACGTACTCGGAGAAAACCTGCTCCAATGCTACTTCGTCGACAAATCCCAAATGACCTGCCCTGAGTTCGAACCCCGGCCGCCGCCTTGGGAAGCCGGCGACTAACAGGCTGAGCTATGACAGGGTCTGGAAATCTTAGCTAGAAGACAGGAGATAAATTTTATCGTTGAATTTCCGAAAAGAATTACATTGAGATACAAATAAATGTTCCTGGACTGCGCCTTAAAAATCAATTTGCCTTTAATTATTTTCCCAGGACACCTTTTTTTAATTATTGCCGCCCATTGTGTTCGCAACTTTCTCTGCAGGACGAAACTGGAAATTGATGTTTTAGTTCAGGCTCCTTGATAGGAGGAACTTAAAATAGTGATCGGTTGATGAAGGTTTTCAGAATTGCCTTCTCGTTACATGAGTTCACAAATATGGAGCTCATGGAAACGCGAATTTAAAAGGCTTTTGTACAATAGACGTCATAACCAGCTGCTACATCATTAAACCTGCAGGATTCAAAAGGCAGTAAGACAAGTCTTCAAATATTTGACATGAGAGTGAAAATGTCAAGGTCTCTTCGATACTTACACTCTAGCGATTATCAGTGGGTATGAGAATATATAAATTTAATACGTACAAGAAATTCCGATATGAACTTAAGGCACCAAGCTGGATTCGAGGTTCTGACAGGCGTGACTATGGAAAGCACTGTCTTCTTGGGTGATGCCATAGAGTCTGGTAAAAATGAAATATCAGGCTATACGGCGTCTCACCACAGTAGATAGTAATCCTCATAGTTACCGCTATGCGAATCATAAAGGATTATTTTGTTTGGGGACAATGCCATGTAGTCCAGTAACCATAAATTTTACCAGGCTATACAGCGTCACATTTTCTTATATAGTAATCTTCATTGTCATCGATATGAGAACTCCAAAGAATTACCATACTACATGGCGTCACTCTTAATAGAAGCCGTTGTGAAGCTTTTAAATTCAAAATGAATGAATTTTCTTCTTGGTTGAGGCGGTTAGTTATTGATTGAAGGGAATTTATTGAATCCGTTAAACTACTGTAAGAGCTATATTTGTGGCCTCATTTTAGTTTCTTTGTATAGAGACTGCAACTTTTCAATATGGGTTATATTTCCGCCTTCAGATGCAGATACTATGCTACAAGCCGGAAGGTGACGGGTTCGATTCCCGATGAGATCATTGGATTTTTCAATTGAAGTAATCCTTTCAGCCGCATTATGACCCCAGGGTTGACTCAGCCTCTAACAGAAATGAGCCGATTGTTTAGAAAATGTGGGAATCTCGAATTGTCACAACCCTATGGGCCTCTACGGTCTGTTACAAGGGTAGCTTTACCCTCAGATGCAGAGAGTATGAAGAGGTTTATGCTCTGGATAGTGATGTGCTGTCGGCATCTCTACCTAGGGGCCGAAACCGAGCAGGAATTTCTTCGTATCCTGCCCACTTGAAATACAACCAATTTCCACCGAGCTCTTCTGGCAAATTCTGGAAGTGACAGGTTCGACTCACGGCCGGGATACCGACTATCCTGACTGAGGTGTTTCGCGA